ATATATATATATATATATATATATATATATATATATATATATATATATATATTGAACCAACATAAAAATATAATAACACTAAATAATATGGAGGGGAGGATTATAATAAAAATGTCACATGTATAAATTTTATTTTTCAATAAATACGCTGCCAAACTTTGAAAATTGAGATTTGATAGTTTGTGCAATAGATGCTTAACGTGGTATAGGATTAGGCATTTTAATAAAATCTTATCCTATGCCTAATATAAGATATCTAGAAAAAAAAGCTTATTAGAGCACGTAATATTAAATTTTAAGAATAGCAAACATGAAAAAATATATTAGCGTTCTGTAATTACGATTTTTCTATTTGTGCTTCACAGCAAATATAATTTGCTATGGAGCATCTGATTTGTATAAATCACGGCGATTTGTATATAATCGGAAGTTTGTGTCTATGAAAGTTGTGTTTGTAAACGTATATGTTTTTTTGTGTTAGGCTAGGTGAAAACCGAGTTAGGAGAGAGAAGAGAGACGCTGTTATGAATTGGCCTAGACAAGTATTGGCAAAGCGGTCCAATACCGCATTAAGTGTAGATGTGTGGAATCTGGGTTGATAAATAAAGAATAGTGTGAGCAAAAGAGGGTTATGAAGACTGTTGGGAAAAAAATGTTTACACTCTCATCCCCTTTCTATGAGTTTTATTTCTCATCTCCTTTCTTCTACTTGTGTTCTTCAATTTTTATTTAGTTCTTAAATTCCTTTGTAATTTTAATTACGTAGTTAATGAAATAGATTTGTCAGGTGTTTGAATTTGAATTGAGTAGATCTTGTTATTGGGTTTGTTATAGACGCGAGCGAGAGAGGGGAGAGAGGCGAGCGAGAGAGGACAGAGAGTAGAGAGAGGTAGATTGTATATGTATATAAGTTAGACAAGTGTATATGAAAAACTTTGTCAAAATCAGTTTACCCACAATACAATGACCTTAAATCCCAAAAATCAATGAAAACTCATTCCAAATCGACCTTCATGTCAACAATTTTCGATATCTATACTTTAGGGTTTAAAATCTCAACTAGCGATATATTTCGGTCAGTTCAATTTTATGTATTATCGATTCGATTTATTGGTTCTTGATTTTTAAATATGTTAAACCAATAATCAAACTAAAAAGATATTTTTATCAGTTTTAATCCTTAAAGTTTGATTTTCGATTTAACCAATAAAAAAGTACTTATAAAACAAACATATGAAATATGAAAGAGATATTCTTGGGAAAAAGAATAAAATAGGGTTAGAAATAGATACACAATGATTATGAAAGAAAAATGCATCAAAAATCACCTCATATCGATTTTTCTAGCTCCCATAATGTTAAAAGTACGAAATGAGTTCGAATATTTAACTCAACAATTTCGTCAGAAAAATCCATTTGTCCTTGCTAAAAAGGTATTTGTTTTGTCACTAAAAGAATGCACCAACAACCTTGAAAATATATTTTTGACCATCAAAACTCATTCGGAATCCTATAAACACGAACAAATAGTGCAACTTCATCATATCATATGTTTTGGAACCAAAGAAAAATTATGGTTATGATGTAAATACCCCTTGAAACTCATTTAGGACAAAAATTTAACTTTAACCTAAATATTCAAATCACAACCTAAGGCCTCGAGATTCTAACCGATCAACTTACTTGACCAAACTTGACATCGTGGACTCAATAAAATTGATGAAATCTCCATATGACGCTCGAAACTCATTATGTTGATCAAAGTTAATCATATAAAAAATTCTAAACTTAAAAGGGACAAAATCACCAAAAACATAACTGATCACACCACTTATTCCCGCAACCCAAACTAAGTGTTGCTTGTTAATTAAGCGCTTACCGTCATATCAAAAAGCTATATCCAACGATCTCCTTTCCAGCCCCATGTCTTATGCGGAATGTTGCTTTTGGAAATCACACGTACGACCTTAGCTTTGATATCACTTGTTAAGTTCAAATGCTTGTTATTATGCCAAATATTATAATTAATAGCAAACTTAACTAAGCTTACCAAATAAGTATCATATTCAATTGTGACGTCGATCGAGACCACCTAGCCCCTCTGGGCCTTGCCATAGTACATAAAATGTCACTGTGAAAATCAAATTTATAATTAAACCAAAACCTAACTGTACACAAAAAGAACTAACACTATATAACATGTGGCAATAAATATGTGGTCTATAAAGTTTTTTCAGCTAATTAAATTCCATATAAATCTACAAGTTCTAACCACTCCTCATCACTTTCTTTTCACAACTTAATTCTTGTTATTTTTAGGAAAAGAAATCACGGGGGTAAAAGGTAAATTGATTGCTTCAATCGAGGTGAAGTGTGGAGGACATTTGATTCATGATACTTTTCACTCCAATACTCATCATATACCCAACATAAGCCCTAGTAAGGTCAATCATTTTCAGATTCATGGAGATGAAATCATTAAGGTTGGAGATAAAAAGGCGAAACTTCCTTTTTATGAAATTTTTTTCCTTTTAGTTCAAAACACAATATATTCTTATAACATGTCCTACTAATCCCCACATATATTCTCCAAAATGTGAAAAATGAAAATGACAAATGAAGAAAAACAAAATTGTTGGATATATAAACTATTTGATGAATGATTAGATCTTTTACAAGGATTTTAATATTTAATTTAGGAATAACATCTCTTATATTTTTGGTTTTAATAATTATATACAGATGGAAAAGAAAAATTTGCCAAGAAAGTGATAGAGTCCATCGATCCTCACAACAAATCAATCACTTAGAAAGTGATTGAAGGAGATGTGCTAGACTTATATAATTCCTTCAAAGGCATCACAAGTAGTGAACATGAGTGGACTACGTTGACATTCATGTACGAGAAGAAAAATGAAGATATATCAGAGCCCCTCACTGTATTTGGTGTATGGATTGAAGGAGATGTGCTAGACTTATATAATTCCTTCAAAGTCATCACAAGTAGTGAACATGAGTGGACTACGTTGACATTCATGTACGAGAAGAAAAATGAAGATATATCAGAGCCCCTCACTGTATTTGGTGTATGGATTGATGTGATCAAAGAGACAGATGGTTACCTTTTCAAAAAATAAAAATAAAAAATCTATGATACTCAACGATTATATATATGTATGTGCATGCGCACATATTTATGCTTGTCTAGTGAATTTTTAATAATATCGGCTAGTTCTAACTAGTCTGTGAAATAAATAATGTTATATTAAATAATATGGATGAAGCTCCTATCAAATTGTATAGAATTTGCTATTGAATGACAAAAATGATTTGCTATTCAAGATATTGAAACTAATTTAGTTTCACTAGAAATAACACAAAAGGTATGAGTATAGAGACTTTTGAGCATATTAGGTGTGTCTATAATTTCCAAGGCAAAAGAAAAGCAATAATATTTTGTTATAATTTTGGATTTAATATATAAAATATATTTTTCATAAATAAAAAAATTCGATATTGTTCGATAATTTTTTTAAAAATAAGAACATCTCCAAATTATTTGACACAAATATGGATTTCTATAAAAATCTATAAATCGATTCATTCACATTCCTACTTGCTAGCATAATAATTTCATCTCATAAAGCAAACCTCCAACAACATAGTGATCGATAATAAAATAATTATGACCCTTTAATACGAACTATTTTTTATATGGTTTCTCATATGGTGTTTGGAGTCATTCACAATGGAGCTTCGACTGAATTCGGATTCCACATTGTAATGCTCATGTGTTCGAATTTGAGATATCTGATTAAGGATAAAAATAGTCTCACCACTACACCAGAACCATATTGATGTCAAAACTCCACTTAGCCCTTTGATTCCCACTTCAAATTATGCTAATAAGTTCCAATGATATTCCTAACTAATGTAAAGTCTAAAAACATAATTCAAAGCTTTAAAATAATAAACTAGAGCTTGAGTTATTATAACAAAATGCATGATATTTTACATATATTGACCATTGAAAATACATAACATTCGTAGAAAGAGATAGACATATTATAATATACTCTTCACACAATATTCTTTATTCCACACGCTAGCTAGAGCTAGCCAACATCGCAAATTATCATCACACAAACACAAACACAAACACACATTGATATATATCGTTTATTTCTTTTCGTATATCCTTTATTTCTTGAAAAGGTGACGCTCTATATCCTTGGTTAAGTCAAGGAGAAGACCCAATTGAATGAGAGGCTCTGGAATATCTTCAGTTTTCTTTTCGTATTCAATTGTCCATGTTGTCCACTCGTGTTCACAAGATAGGATACCAGTAAAGGAACTATACGACTCTAACACATCTCCTTCAATCACTTTCCAAGTGATTGATTTCTTGTCAAGATCGATGGCTTCAATTACTTGCTTAGCAGACTTCTTTTGTCCAGCTGTAATTATTAAAATAAACAAAATATAATTGGTGTTACTCCTTGTTTGACTGTTAATTAACTCCTCATGAAAACAAACAAATTTTACATGAATTGGATATTGCAATTGCTCTATGAAAGCATTGACAAATTCAACAAAATCAGATTTAATTTAAATTTGACAAATTCAAGAAAATCATATTTAATTAAATTTTACTTTTATGTTCGGTATAGAGAAAAAATATTTTTTTATTTTTCCAAAATATTTCGTTTAGAAAAGTAAGAAAATGATTTCTCTAATGACAATAACTAGGAAAGACAAATTTCATATGATATTCTAACCTCACAAATCTCATTCATTACCTTATCTCACTTCATACTGTTATGCTAGATTACATATAAATATTTTTGTGACAGTATTTCTTACTTGCTTAAATAAATATTAAACAAATAAACGAAAAACTTATTTATTTACCAAAAAAATATTTCTTAGAAAATCATTTTCCTACATATACTAAACACACACCTCCTCGATGGACAATATTACTATCTTCTCCCTACAATCGAAAAGAAAAAAACACAACTTAGTGCCCTCTAGCAGGTCTAGATGTTGGTGTGGATTCACGCAACTCGAATTTGAATTAGTCAGAAATTAAATTTCGAATATCCATATGAACAAAAGTAGAGTAGCAAAAAAAAAATGGATCACAAAAAATTATCTAATGCTCCTAGAATATAATTTCAATCATCGCATTGTTTTCCTAGAATATAATTTCAATTATATTATTAATAATAGTAATATCTTTTTATCCTTCCCAGGAACTTTCGTCCTTGATACTCAAATCTACGATCTTAAAATCGAAAATGAACGATCTTAATTACCATCTGAGTAATTCACTCTTGTCTTTTAATTATATTATGTTTGGTATGAAAAAGTAATATTCCATGGAAAAAGTTCTTTTTCTGCAAAATAGTTTGTAGTATTTAATAATTGGAATGATATATAATTTAAAGCATATACTATTAAGGATTAATAATAATATTAATATATCATAGAATATATAATCCGGTGAACCTTTTTTGAGTACTAACTATTAGTAAGTAATGTTTAACAATTAGTTGAAGCAAATTAATTTCTTAAATTCCACCCACAAGTGAAAATTTTCTTTTGTGAAACAAAAAGCTTTACTTTGAAATATATTTATGGTAATCAAAACCATTAAATAACCTTTTTCAAGAACATCATTTACTTGAAAAATATATTTTATACTATCAAAATACTCCTAAATATAGAAAATTGATGTATGTAAATCTTATTGAAGGAGAGAGAATAGAAAAATATGTGCTACCTTCGTTATAATTGCAGCTAACGATCGAACCAACTTTTACAGTTTCACCTGCGTGTATCTCCAAATGGTTGATAATATTAGGACTTATATTAGGTATATGATGGGTATGGATGTGAAAAAAATCAAGAATCGGGTGTCCTCCACACTTTACCTCCACTAAAGCAATTAATTTGCCTTTCACACCCATATTTTATTCAATTACAATAATTTTTGGAAAGAAAGTGGTGAGAAAATGTTAGGAACATTGTAACCTTTATAAAGATTTTAATTTGTTGTGAGAAGTTAGCTAGTAGAAAATATTATTCAACACGTCACATATTATTGTTGTTGTTGTTGTTGTTGTTGGATCGTCACTATTATTGAATTAGGCACGCATGCATGCATGCACTGTCACGATTCGAGCCTATATTCTGGACGTGGCCGACACTCAAGAGCTATTGTTTGTCCCCAAGCTAACTCTTATCCTGGTTGACTATAAGCGCAAGACTAACTCAATCATACAAAATCTATAACTGAATAAAATCAATAACTTAAATATAAAGCTTTAACTTAAAGGATTTACTTTGAATATAAATAAAATATTCAACTAGCCAACAATAGGCAACTCAAGTCTGTAAAAGTTTTAATAAGATAAATGAAACAGACTTCTCAAACCCTATTGTCTATCTATGACGCCTCTAACTGACAAAGATGGAAGTCGGGACGGGACTTACGACATCCTAACAATTGATATAACTGAAAGTACAAGTGGAACCCTTCGAAAATAAGGAGACTCACCATAGCTAACTTAAACTCTATATGATATCAATGAAGTTTTTGTTGATGATCCTGGATACTTGTACATGCATCATGAAACGATGCAGGCCAAATGGATCAGTACGTGGTATGTTCAAGCATGTAAGGGAATTCTATAGAATAAATATAAGCTTGAACTTGATAAAAAGAAAACATAATTACGTTCTCTCAACTCACTCAACTAAATTCAACTCAAAAATAAGAAACATAGTTCAACTCAATGATAAGATACTCAATTCTGGGTACTCAACTCAAAGATACTCAACTCAAGATAAAGCAATAAAAAAAGATGCAATATATGAAAAGCTTTTAAAGAAATAGGTAGCAACTCAATGTATTTATGAATACAATATACTCCGTTCATATGCAAGAATACAAAATAAACTCTATCTGTAAATAAAAATACAAAATAATTTTTTGGGAGTTTCTCTAACCGAAAATCATCACTATGAGCTATACGATGATACAGTGTCTCGCCCATGCTGTCAGAATTGTCCTATACTTTGTCGAGGTATGGAATTTCTCAACTAAGTGGATCCACTAGTCTATGCTAAAAGGCAGTAAGGAATCATCTAAAAAGTATGACCCTTTTGGATACATGGTTTATGGAGACTTGAGTGACCTGAACTCGTCCCCATATCGGTGCTCAACACTACTCCCAAAAATAAACTCAGTCATACGTTTAAAACATAACTCTTTCTCTGGTTTGAGATTATTACTCAAAATATTTCTCTAAAAAGAGATGTTACTCAAACTGTTCAAAATTCTTTTGGAAATCTCGATTTCCTCCTCGTTTAAAAATGTAAAAACATTTACTCTTGGAAATACTTAGTTCTCACATATCATTTTAAAGAAAATAAACTCGACTCTACTGTTTCTCAGTTCAAGTCTTAAAACAAGTTCAGAAAATTTTGTAAAAGACTTCTTAAAATAAAGTTCATCTCGAATTACGGACGTGAATGACTTAATTCAAGATTTTCAATAACCATACGTAGAACTCAATACTCGAGGCTCAATAACTCCTGAACTCAAGGATTCAATGATACTAATTATTTCCAGAATACTTGACTCAAAGAGTTCATGCGAAATTATGGATATGAACAATTCAACTCAATGACTCAAAGATACTTCTCATGTCTAGACTGTTCGACTTAAAGGTTCATGCGAAATTATGGGCATGAACAACTCAAAAACTTCGTGATATCACTCGTAGACAAAACACGCCATGAAGTAGACATTAGACCTGACATAGAAATAAAAATAGATGGACACAAAATTTAATTTTTTTTATATATATAATATAGAAATAGAAGCACAGATGGGCACAACAGATGAACAATGGACTCAACATTGAATAAGATATAACACTGAAATAGCTGAACACGATATTGAATTTAAATGTTATTATTACATAGAAATGGAATAAAAGCAAAGATAAAATATTGAATTAGACATCTCATATAAAGAGGAACAAATCATTAAAAGGTCTTTTCAATCAATTTGGTTTGAACTCAATTGCACAAATATGTTTTAGTGGTGATTTATTTATTTTTATTTTGAAAATTAGTACATCTTATGTATAACTATGAAATTGAGTAAATCTTAGGAATAGTAAAGATAAAAATTATATTAGCGCTCTATACTTATAATTTTGTTATTTCTACACAATAACCAAATTATATTTGTTATGGAATATCTGATTTGTATAAATTGTGCGCTAGTTAGTGTGTCTATGTAAATTGTGTTTGTGTATGTATATGCGAGATTGGAGAGAGGATTAAGGCGAGTGAGAGATGGCAGAGAGTAGAAAGAGTTGAATTATATATGTATATTGATCAGTTATATAATTGTATATATGTAACTACTATGTATATGTATATGTATCAGTGATTGTGTTTGTATATCTGCATAAAATTTAAACTTATATACAATTTAATCGAGTTAAAACGTTTCTATCTGCATATCGAATATTTTTCTGTCACTTTATACAAATACAAATTATACATTGTATTTTACATAATTTGTATTCGTATAAAGCGAGAAAGAGAAGGGAGTGAGAGAAGCGAGGGAGAGCTACGAATTTGTATTTGTATATATAGTCTCTCTTGTTGAATACAAACACAAATTAAACATTCGTGTTTGTATAAAGCGAGAGAAGCGAGAGACAGATGATTGAAAAACAGGAGAATGACAAGCGAGATTCCAGAGATAGGAGAGAGAGGTGAATGACAAGAAATTTATTATAAATTGAAATTAAATGGAACTGCAACTATAACATTTATTTTGAATTAATAATTTACTATAATGCACGATTGTTTTCTAATAGGTAAAGTAGACAAATTCTCTATATATGGAAATGGTGGGTCGTGAGTGACTGCGTGTCAATATTCAGACTAAGATACATTTAACTTTTAATACTTTTTTATCCTTCATAAAATTATTTATAGTCATATAAATATATATAATTTATGTTAAATCACAAATTTTATAATTTTCATTTTTTATAAAAAAACTTTATTTGTCCATTGTCACAAAAATTGGTATGGAAGAAATACATGAACATCAAGTAACAAAGTGACCTTTACTTTGTTAGATTTTTACATGACTCTATTAAATCTTAATTATCTATACTATACATTAATATTTTTAAAAATGAATAAAGACTCATAATTTATTATATTAAAATGACAATGAAATAAAATCGAATCGATATGATCATGAATTGGACAAGACGACACATTCATATATAAGCATAAATGGATATAAATAGGCGCAACACTAAATTAGATGTAACATAGAAATAAAAATTAGATGGACATAAAATTTAATTATATACATAATATAGAAATAAAAACACAGATTGGCACAACAGTAATTAAATTAGATATAAAATAGAAATTGTAATAAATTGACTCAACATTGAATAAGATATGACATAGAAATAGAAATGAAAAAAGAGCTGGATTGATAGAATATTGAATTAGAATATTACACGTAACATAGAATAGAAATAAAATAGATGGACTCAATATCTAATCATATATAACGTAGAAATAATAACGATAACATATTTTATAAAAAATGATAGAATTTAAATTTAATTTCATATTTGTATAAAGATCATTAAAGAGTCTTTTCAATCGATTTGGTTTGAACTTAATTGAAAAAATATGTTATAGTTTTGGAAAAGATAGAATAATTAGTCATACTTAGCTTATTTTGATTGAAACAAAAAATATTTTGGAAATAACGAAACTTGTGACAAATTTAACAACCTACTCAAGAACATTGGGTCACCCCTCCTTACGAAAAAAAAAAAGGGTTTTAGCTTGATAAAAAAAACATTCACTTTTCTTTCAAACTTCTTTCAGAAATCTCATTATTTTAGTAGTTAATTTCATAAATATACGCTAATTTTCAATAATACCAAATTTGCTACATTTTAGTGCATTTAGATACATTCAAATATATACATTTCGGAATACATGAGTCTCGACCCTAAAGGGTAAAAAATATTGACAAAAATTTTAAAAGGGTAAATGAAAAACTTTTAAGCCAAAACGGTAAAATCGCTGGTGATGTAGCGATTTAGGTGGTGCTGTTAAGGCAAATCGCTGCAAAATATTTTTTTTAACAAATCGTCGCTGCCAAGACAGTGATTTGATAAATAATTTTTTTAAAAATTATAAATCACTGCCTGTGCAACGATTTTACTTAAAAAAATTTATCATTATTTTTTGAAGTAAATCGCTGCCTTGGCAGCGATTTTACTTTATTTTTTAAAATTTTGAAGTGGCAGTGATTTCACTTAATTTTATTTTTAAAAAAATTAACACGTCAAATTTGTACAAAAAAAATTCACAGCATGTTAATATTTATGTCTGGATGTGAAATTTGAATTTGAAAGTTTGACAATGTGAATTTTTTTTGGCTAATTATAATTTATTTAAAAAAAATAAAAAATAAAATAGGTGAAGTAGCGATTTACAATTTTTTTTTAAAAAAAATCATTTACAAATCGCTGTCAAGATTTGTTAAAAAAATTTAAAAATAAATAAATTTTACAAATCGCTGCTACTAAAGCGGTTTTCCTTAACGCCACCCACCTAAATTCCTACATTACCAGCGATTTTATCGTTTTGATTTTTTAAAAAAATTCATATACCCTTTTGGAATTTTTGTCAATATTTTTACCTATCAAGCTTGGGACTCCGGAATACGTGCGATCAAAATTAAATCAGGTGTAGTTTGTTTTATATACATTGTATCATAGTGTATTTGCAAGTATGTGGGATACATAAACAAATCTCACTCGTCTCCCTCACATCTCGCTCATCTCCCTCATATCTCGCTCGTATACATGCAAATCACAACATATACATATATTTAATGTGATTCTCATATTTCTAACTTGACATCTGGTATGAAATTATTAAATAATAAGATAAATATAATTATTTTCAACTATGGGGAGAATTAGTAAATATTATAAGAATTTTTATGTTATTAGAGTTTTTTATTTTAATTTATAGTATTACTTTTAACGAGTAAATATATAAATATTATTTTGAAAATTCAAAAGATTCTATATCCAAATGTATAGTAAACTTTAAGAAGTTTGAAATATCAAAAGTGAACAATATTAGTAAATTGGAACATGATGGACAACCCTGTAAAACTCAAACCACTTTGTTAGTTCTCCAAGTCTACATAACTAGGTTTTTAGTTCTTTCTTGGGTAAATTATGCAAAGTGGCATTCTCCTTCTTAGTCTTCTCCTATTTTATTTTATTTTAAAATTGTTATACTGGAAACGCGAATTGTTTCGAATGAATTATATACGAAAAGGCTTAAAACATTAAGAGAATTTCATATATAAATTTTAAAATTGTTTAGAAGTGATTTTGAGCAAATTATCTTCTTATGCTTCGTCATGCCTTTTTGTCTTCTTTCGGCTTCACCTATTTTTTTTCGTTATAGAATCGACGTACCGAAAACGTGAACTCTTTTGAATGCTCAAAAGACTTGAAATATCTAGAGGATTTTATATTTAAATTTTTAGACAGTTTAGTGGTGATTCTGAACTGATCAAGATTGTATAGTTAGTGTATACTTCATGTATACTTGTGCATACTTCATGTATAATAGTGTATATTTCACGTATATTTAATTAAGACATATTCAACTCTTTCAGTTTATCATATGTATTTTAAATTCAGAAATTGATTAACATGATGATGATGAATAGGAGGAAGTGGAAGAGGCAAAGTTAAGAGGAGAAAAACAGCTTGATAAGTGTTTTTTTTTTTTAAATGACTACCAAAATGCTTAAAAATTGATCTAAAAAGAAGATTCTTGAAACAAATTAAAGAATAAAATAGTGGGAAAAGAACATATCAAAAGTATTTGCATCAAAGATATGTCAAAACTCAAAAGTATAGCAACATATCGTTATGATATCAAAAAAGAATAATGCGTATATATACATTTTATATTGGGAAAATTGTATATAATAGCAAACTAATAACCTAAATTAAATGGAATAGCTAGGGTTTGATTTAATTGTGCTTCATAGAAAACATTAGCTAAAATTTGCCAGCGTCTCTCTCCCAAAAATCTCGCTCGCCACTCTCCATTCTCGCTCGCCTCTCTCGCTTTATACACAGAAGTGTATAATTCTGTTTCTGTTTTGTATAAAGAGAGAGAAAATTGTATATACACATGCAAAAATGTATATCTTCGTGTTAGACACTTAATTATACAATTTACAAACATTTTACTTCAAATATTGCAGAGAAAAAGGCCAGCGAATTATACAATTGCAGTGAAATACAATTTTCTCTAGCTTTATACAACAGAAGTGTATATAATGTGTTTCTGTTTTTGTATAAAGCGAGAAAAACATATATCTTCTTGCTATACACTTATAATTATGCAATATACATATATTTTAATTCGATTCAACCATATGCAAAGCAAATTATACAATTGCAGTGAAATAGGCCAGCGAATTATACATTTTAGGCCAGCGAATTATACAATTGTATATGTATAGCGAATTATACAGTTTTATGTTTGCTATGGAGTGCAATTATGCAAACTTTGTTATAGCATACAAATATTTTTTAATTGAAATAAACTAATAAAATATTTTTTATGAAATAAACTAATAAAATATTTTTTTAATTGAAGCTCAAATTTTCCATTCTATTGTAGGTAAACAGCTTCTTTTTTTATAATATAGTAACTAAGATTTTTTTAAAAAAAGAAAATGAGATATATATTTTAATTTTGATGTTATTATTTTTATTCGAATAATAGAGTCAATCATAAAACATGATAGTAATTCCAACAGCATCTAACACAACCATATGGACAATCACAAGTACATTAATTATATTCTTGAAATATTATTCCTAGCTAATCCTTCAAGAACACTCAATTAAAAATTATCCAACCAATATAACCAATTATTTCTTTAAAAAAAATCAATTCAATTCTAAAATTAGGTCAAATATGAGTAATTTCAAATTTATTCGAGCATATTTTAATTCACATTAGGCAAAAAAAAAGAAAATTAGAGCGGAAATAACCGCCTTAAATTGGCATGTTGTGTATTGCCAGATCAGTATAAGAAAAAGTTTAAATTACATGAGAATTTACCTGAGAATTGGTACGAAGATTTGCACAAAATTTTTATTGAAAATAATGACCTAAAAATAATTTCATCAAAAATAAGAAATCCTTTGAGGTTTCTTATTTTAAAATTTTCATTAATCGATTTAGACTAAAAAGACAAATAATGACCCAAGGGGGAAATTGTAGGAGACCATTTAACAAGTGTACATAAAAAAGAATTATAACCTAAAATTGCTATAGTGAAGAGTTGAGGAAATTTTTTTAATTGTTGTTTGCGTTTTTTATTAACAAAAAGTTTTTCACGTAAAAATCTGTGTTATTTTACTTTTTAACACTTATCTTCTTACATAATTAATAAAAGAATACTTTATTCTCTCAATGAAGAAATGTTATACTTTGTAGGTTTAATTTGTTCCTTAGCATAAAGTCTAAGAAAATAAATACTTACACTAAAAATATTCTAAATATATTACTAATTATATTCGTAATTAACTAAATGACCAATCCTTCATTCATAACAAAAACATGATATGCATGTATATAAATAGTGGCCCATGTTTCAATTCTTAGAGCTAATAATGTCTATATAAAGGCTATAAATTCTGAATATTTTTTCACCATCAAACATTAATTCTTCTTACAATTCATTGATATATCAAAAAAGAAATATGGGTTTCAAAGGCAAGTTGATTGCTTCGATGGAGATTAAGTGTGGAGGACACTTGTTTCATGATTTTTATCAGATTAACGCTCATCATGTATCTAACATAAGTCCTGATAAAGTCCACCATTTTAATATTCACGAAGGTGATCAAGATCTAAAAGTTGGTTCAATAATTGGCTGGAAATATAATCATGGTAAAATTTCCAACACTAATTTTTTCAATTATTTAAGATTTTTTTTTTTGGTTTAAGGGGAATCTTGGAGCAAAAATAAATTTGTTTTATCTGATTTATAGATTATGGATTTAATCCTTAGAAGCAACCACTACTATTAGTAGACAAACTGTCTACATAACACTCCTTGGCCAAGCTTTTAGGAAATAAAAAATGCTTCTTCTTTTCTTTTCAAAAAAGAAAATATTTTAGAATAACGAGAATTAAGATAACAGGTTCGTCAGTAACTTTAAGTGTAGATTTACTTTCTCGTGGGAGAGGCAGCTTTTAGTAAAAAAAAATGATCTTTTCTTTTCAAAAAGTAATTATTCTTTTAGAATATTAAATATAATTAGGATACAAAGTTAATCTGTAATTTTAAGTATTGATTTAATTGGATAAAAAAAAAACTAATATATGTCAGAAGTGGGATTTGAACCCACGCCCTCTTACGAAGACCAGAACTTGAGTCTGGCGCCTTAAACCACTCGGCCATCCTGACTTGATATTGAAATTTCACTCAAAATAAATTTTTATTTGTTAATTCAGACGATAAGTAGGATCTTATCATTCTTTTTAAGCTGATTAAAAAAGCACAATTATTTTTAAAAAAATACTTTTCTAAAATACTACTGAAATAAATGCACTTTTCATGTTAAACAATTTTTAAAATTTGGGCAATTAGTGATATGGTTTATCCTTGAATACTTCTGACAAAATTATTTTTTTTAAAAAAAATAAGCAAATTTTAAAAAATTGATCAAATTATTTTAGTTATATAATTCAAGTAACACATGATTATTTATCATCCTAATATTAACAGATCCGTTGAGATTTTTAAAGATAAGACGATTCTGACAAAAAGTTGAGCAATTTGAGATAATTTGGAAAAGGGAAAAGTTATCTTGTTCTTTTAAAAAGAATTAATTTGAATTATCAAATAATATCATATAAATTGATATTTCTTTTTTTAAATGATTACAGATGGAAAAGTTAAGGTTACTAAGCAATTGATTGAAGCCGTCGACGATGAGAAGAAATTAATTACTTGGAAAGTGTTAGAGGGAGATACGTTGGAATTGTATAATTCCTTCGCTATTACTGCCTCCTTTGAAGAGAATTGGGCAACATGGACACTAGTATACGAGAAGAAAACTGAAGACACACCAGAACCTATTACTCTCTTGAGTCTTATGATCGACATCACTAGAGATTTGGAAAGTCATCTCCACAATAACTAAAAGATCATTAACATTTGAAAATCTCATCTGAAATATCTATCTGTGTGATGATTAATAAAAAATTATTGATTTGTCTAATATGCGAAATAAATAGTGTTGTATGGAGGTATTGTATCAATGTGTGTTTGTACTCATTCCAGTTTTTATTATGAATATAAATATAATAGATTGTAATTAGCTAATGTCTTCTTGTAACATTAGTAGACATGAACTCGGACTCAAGTGCCTTCAAGCATGATCTTAAATTTTAATGTACTTAATTTTGGTTTGTATTTGAATTCAAGGGTTTTTTAGCTTATGCATGAATATGGTGATCTTGATCTTGGATGCTTGAATTCTTGAACCTGTAGAGAAATTTGTTAATCTAGATTTATGAGCTTTCTCTAGCTTCTTGTTTAAAATTTTAGTATTTTTCTTTGAATTATGACGATTTTTATTTATAGTCGTAGGATGATAGAGTTATCATGAGAACATTGCATCGGTTTGGTCAATCAAATTTAAATATCTGATACATAACTTATGTACCGTTTGTTATGTATAGGGTGAAGCAGTAATGTATCCGCAGATTCTTTTTTTTTTTTAAAGATTTCCTCAAGGGGCTTCAATAGATATCAAAGTAGCAATATAGAGAGGAGTGAAACCTAACCCCTCTAAGTTATCAAAATAAAAGGAAAAATTGTTCCTCGTCACATAAGCTTATAAAAAATTTTTAGAATTTTTAAACTAGAAGCAACCATGTATCCGTGGGTTCTAAAAATAAAAAATTATGGTAATTTGGAAAACTTTCAGGATAGAACATAATAACCCAAATTGCTGAGATTTCTATACTTTATACTTAATTAAATTCATATTTATTAGGCTTAAATAATTAATCTGTAATATTTATTTAAACTAATATATCTTGAATTAATCGGTCCCATTATTTATTGTTTTTAGCTTTTTTCCATGCTAATTAATAAAAATTTAAATATTAAAGGTATAATTCAGTGAATTTTTCCTATTTAATAAAGCTAGAATCATTTTTTTTTCTCTTAAAAAATTTATGCGTACATTTTTAATTTTTAAAAGTCTGGTTGAAAATGAGTAATCTTTAATGATTATGAATGAAGATATCAAATTTTAGCTCAAATTGCCTTTTGGAATTATTTGGAAAATATGTGATATATATTTACTTGATATATTATTCATATATATTTTTGAAAATAATTCTCACTTTCTAATAAATATCTCCTATTTCCCTTTTTTAATTTCATTTATCTTTCTCCTCCCTCTTCACTGATTCTTAGAGATAGGATTTTGAAACGAAAGGAGTATAAAATTTGAAAATAAAAGATATATGTGAGGAAGAACAATGTACTTATTTTTCAAAATAAATAGAATTTAAGTTGAGAGTATAAAATATCTATGTATTTAATATTCCTATTATTCACTTCTGTCCACTTTTAACTGTCATATTACATTTTTAAAAATCAATCTAACTAATTTTCAAAATTAAATTAGATTACATTAATTTAATATTATAAATAAAAAAAATTAAAAACTGTATAAAAAATACTATAATTTCAATTTTTACATATTAATCTGATGAAATATATCGTGAAATAATAGTAAAATTATTATTGTTTGATTCCAAAATAAATATGATAATAAAAATAGACGGAGGTAGTATTTCTTCTAACATTATTTTCTCATGAAAATTGTGCATATATGGGTCCCACTAATTTATTAATGAAAAACCTACGCATATTCATATAAAATATATGGGGAAAGAAATCTCCTCCAATAAAACATAATCCGATATTTTTATTTGATTCGATAATTGATTTATGCCACGTGTCCATTAAAGCCGCGTATATTTAAGGATTGTCGATTGACATTATTTTATCGAAAATTACATTAAATAATTAGATAAAATTATTTCATATATGTATACATATTGATCATTTTTAACTTTTTACGCAATTTTATTTTTTTATTTTTGAATTGAAATTTAAGCTCCGTTTTTCTACCATATTATTCATGCCATGTGTCTGACATTTTATTTATAATTAATTGAATAGAGAAAAATCACGTTAAGTTTTCCCGCAAGAAAATGTGATAACACAATAATTTATAATTCATTAATAAATATCGTATTCAATCAAACATCGTTAAATAAATTGAGACGTAGACACAATTATCTATGTCCCTATGAGTGGTCCAATTGGAATAATGGGTATTTTGCTAAGGAATGTACAATGAGTTGTCCAAGCCAAGGTACATGATCAAAGAATCTACATGCAAATTTTAAAAAGAGATATTAATTTATTTTTTTTTAAAAAAAACGATCATTATATAAAATGTTATTGAAATTTTAGTTTTTTAGATGTGAACATTAATTAATGATTCGTTATAAGAATTTCATTTTGAAGAAAGATTATTGTCATATTTATAGGTTATAAATTAAGAATATTAATAATACATTTTTAATTAAAAAATATAATATAAATTTAGAATAATAATTTTTGTTCAAAATTTTGATAAGTTGATACAATAATATCAAAATAATTATATAATGACGACTTGTTGCAATGCTTAAAATCTTAAAGAAAACACCAGAAAAAAAAAATTGATCTTTTATAAATAGATAACATTAGATTTTTCAATATTCAGAAAGTTTAGCCATTTGACAGATTTCAAAACATTTAATAAATATAAGAGAATAAGAATAGTGATAGAGAAAATGAATAAAATAAATATATACCATCAATAATAACAGATGCACATATAGAAAAAAGAACACCACAATTATTTAAAAGTATATTATTTCTCAATTCTTGTATTAAAAAGTAAAACATTATTGTACTCTCTCCAATGATTTTTCTTCAAATTTAACAATATATAGGATTTTTCTTTACATTCATACATGTGTACCTTCCTCAAATTCAAAATTATATATATAATGATGCTCCCAAAAAAAGTTAGGGCACCAATTTTTTTCTTTTTGGTTTTCCACCTGGTTTAAGGAGGTTATATTAGAGTTCCGACTAAATATGAACCACGCATTGCAGGGTTCATTTAAGGGTGTTCGAGCCAATATTAGAGCTCCGATTAAATTGGAATCGCGCACTGCAGAGCTCACTTGGGGGTGGCGCTCCCAACATAACTTTCTTCATATCCAAAACTCGAATCCGAAACATCTGATTAAGAGTGAAGAATTCCAACCAGCTCACCACAACTCGGCCCCATTCTTTTTAGTTTGCTTTAGTTGTTTTACACTTCAATTGTCCAAGGAATGACCATAAATTCTTAGAAGGAATCCAATGAGTTGTCCAAATCTCCAATATTTACTATCTATGACTAAGTAGGTGTTCATTTAGATTTTAAATGTTTTTTATTTTATTATAATTTGAATTAAAGATCAAATTGCATTTTATTTAAATTTAATTTTAAAGAATATTTAAAATAATATTTATATTTAAATATAACTAAATCAAAAGCGAGTTCGAAAATAGGTTGAGTTGCTTTTCAAGATACAACTTTTAATCAAAATTTTAAAATTTTTATAACCAAATATTAATTTACTGATAAAGTAAAAAAAGAAAAAGTGAACTCTAATTGATTTTAGATTGTAGGGTATATATTTACTTACTACAATGTTTATGGTTTTCTTCATATTCATAGGCCACATACAATGCACACCTTTTGAAATGAAGGTAATTGTCTACACCTAACTTCTGAATTATTTTGCTATTTAATTAATAATGTGTCTGTTTTAATTTAAGTGATATTTTTTATTTTTAATTAATCAAAAGATCAATATGTTTTTATGTTATGTGTTTTTTTCTTTCATATTTTTGCTTAACTTCTTTTAATCAAAAATATTTTTTTCTTTCTTTTACTCCTTTATTCTGACAAATCCTCCAAAAAATTAATTTTCTTTCAATCTAATCTTATCATTTAAGTAATTATGCAATGCAATAGTAGTCAAATTCAAAGTTTCAAATCATACTTAATAGAGATAATTTGGTAAAGAAAGTTTTTTAAAGGGAGTGTTATAAGTCAAACATGAATCAAGTAAAATAAAATAAAGAGATTTGGTTTCACCTTAAATTCCAATGTTATCTTTGATTAGATGATTTAAAGTCATAAGCCATCAGAAAAAGAGTTAAAATATTTTGATTTTTGATTGAAATTTTTATCACGATACCAAACTTTATAAAGGACATTTTAGCCTTGCGCAATTTAATAGTATATTTTAAAGGTATATATGTGTCTAAGTGGACACATTATAATATTTATTGATGCAATATTTATGGTTTCCACGTAGGCACATATATACCTTTAAAATACATTTTAAATAATGTAGGGAGATAAAATGTCATCCATTAAGTTTTGTATCATAACAATAATTTCGATCAAAGTTAAAATATTTTTACAAACCTTTTCCTCTAAATTTTTTGTTTCATTTCAAACTCTATGCTCAGTCAAACACCATCACATAAGGTGAGATTCAGAAAGTACTAACCCTATGTTTAGAATTATATATTGAAAACAAAAAAAAATGTTGGATTAATTAAATTTTAAGCTCAATTAGAAAAGTGTGTTTCTTAAAAAAATTTGATCCCCTCATAACTATTGAAGGTTTTGAATTAATATATCTCTAGATAGAATGGAACACTAATTTTGGTGCAAATAATGTTTCAATAAACCTACACACTATAATAAAAATAACTTTTAGCGACATTAAATAGTGATACTAATAGAGTTCTGACATCTTTATCGGCATTAGTTAAGTGTTATTAGAACCAATGTCACTAAAGGTTTTAGGGACATATAAAAAGAGTAATAATTGTCGCTAAAAATACGTATTTAGCAACAATTAAGAATTAAATGCCGCTAACGTCATTTTTGTTGTAGTGACAAAAAGTAGCTAATCACATTGATACTTTATAAACAATGAAAGAGTGTGACACTTCCTCAAATGATACTTTTTTTGGTGCATATAAAAAGGAATTTTTTTTCTTTAATTCTCATTTACACCTTAAAATTTTAAGTATCCCCTCATAAATGAGGAAGAACCATGCTTAAACACACGCATAACAAAATAAGTTAATAGCAAGTACAAATTAGTTGCATACAAATTAGTAGGTTCTTTTTATATTTTTTTATAATGAACATAAATAAGATACACTCAATCAATCGAAAGATTTAATATTTTGAATCGTTGAGCTTTTATGTGTTGGGAATAAATTCGTAATAGAAATAATATTTGCGGTAATAAAAGCAATAAAAGCAAAACACAACAATATAGTTAATCAACGAGAATAAAAGAGAAATAATGACATCAAGGTTTTACGTAGAAACCATCCTAAATAAGGGAAAATCACAACCTGAGCAATTGATATCACTATTTTTACACTTGTAGGTCTGAGTAAACTGCAAAGATCACTACACACTCAAAAGAAATAACCCTTTTTTTATTTTTCCACTTCTCTACTATATCGCTCACTCTCTATTTTTCTTACAGACTATTTTCCTTTGTGATGCCTCACTCTTCTTTTCTCTCCTTTGTATTTTTTTTGCGTACATTGAGAATGAAGAATTGTCATCTCTTTTACAGAAAACAAATGTGCTACGGAAGAAAAATATTTTTTCTTTTTCACAACTTACGAACATTTGAATAATAAGAAAAACTGAAAATAAATCAGCACACTAAATCTGTCAAACTTTAAAATTGAAGGAGAGTTATTCAAAGTTTGGTACATGAAGATAGACCCCACATTATGTACATCTAAACAACATAAGTCACAAAATTAACACTCAATCATCTCTGTTTCTCATTTGGTATTCTTTTTAACTATAATCACAGTTCTCATGGTATAAAAATGATCTTTTATAAATTCTTAAAGTAAACATGACAATATTATAAAATATTCAAAATCCATTATTTCAAATTGATATAAATATTCCTGCTGGTTTGATGTTATTATTTGTAATGAAATTAGAGGAGAACTTCTTTATTTGGATCTTGATTTTTCTCAAATTGATCTTCACATATTTTGATTGAGTCTTCTATTTTTAATTTGTTTGCTAAGATTTCTTTTTAGAAATCAGATTTTATAGAAAAGTACAATAGTGAGAGTAATTAATCAATGTAAGAAGTAACTACAATGAACATTTATTACTTATCAATTTTTCTAGGTTGGAAAAATATCTGTTTTTAAGACTAATAAACTATTAAGGGTATAATAAAAAGAATATTGTAATTTATGCATTGAATTAATAAAATGTCTAGCATTATGGACAAACTATTTAATATAAGGATGACATATAAAAAAATAAAGAGAGTACTCTCTCCGTCCACTTTTATTTGTCATGATTTCTTTTTTAGAGTCAAACAAAATAATTTTGACTAACTTTCTATGATGTATTCTTTTATCATATTGACATGCAAAAAATTTCAATTTATAATATTTTTCGTATAGTTTTTTGAATATCAAAATTTTTTGTTTAAAATATCGAATTAATGCAATCTAATTTGACTTTGAAAATTAGTCAAATTAACTTTCAAAAAGCGTAACATGATATTTAAATGTGAACATATATAGCATTAAAAAACAACTATTTTTAATAAGGACAGACATGTAAATAGAAAATACCCTAATTATACTCAAAATTACCTAACCTAAGTAATTCTTCATTCATACCAAAAACATGGCATGTATAGTGGTCCATGTTTATTTAGTAGCACCCTAGAGCTATTAATGTCTATATAAAGGCTACAACTTCTCAATATTTTCTCATCACCAAACATTCTTTCATAAAATCCATTGCTATACCAAAAAAGAAATATGGGTTTGAATGGCAAGTTGGTTGTTTCGATGGAGGTTAAGTGTGGAGGACACTTGTTTCATGACCTTTATCAAACTAGTTCTCATCATGTAACTAACATAAGTTCAGACAAAGTCCATCATTTTGATATTCACGAAGGTGAAGATCTAAGAGCTGGTTCAATAATTGGCTGGAAATATACCCATGGTAAGACTCGTATCGCTATAATTTTGTGGATTATTTGAGGGTTTTTTGAAAACTTTTTTTAGTTAAAGAGTAGCCTTGGAACACCGTAAAAGTCGTCATTGATACTTGTATTACGATATAATGTCTATATCATATTCTGTTGTCAAATTTTATAGTCTGTTTGGACAACCTTTTAAAAATAAGAAATGTTTTTTATACTTTTCCAAAAGTTATTTAAAAAATTTAAAATTAGGATAAAAAATTAGCATGTGACTTAGAAGTGTTGCTCACTTTCCTGTGGGAAGGGCATGATTATAGTTTGGAACATTTTACATGCCCCTTCTTTTCATATGGGTAAAATTATTTTATTCTTTCTAATTTTTATTATTACATATGGTGTTTTTTTTTTGCTTCGGTTATCATAAATTTTGTCGTTGTTATTGTTCTTTTTTTCAATAATGTTTGTATGACTTGTTCACCGTTTTATTTTGTTTTTAAGGTTGCTTTGAAATATTTTATTTGACTTAAGAGTAATTTATTAGAAACAACTCTGTTATCTTCACAAGATAGATATGATTTGTATATACATCATCCTCTCCATATCGTATTTGTGATTTGACACTAAGTATGTTATTGTTAAGGTATTTGACCAGACTTTTAAGAAAAAACAAGTGATTTAGTTTTGAGTGATATCAAAAGTTATTTTTCAAAAGCCAGAAAGATTAGGTTTTCTCCAAAAATATTTCTAAAATATTGGTCAAGCACAAAATACTGCTCCAATATTGACAAAAATATTTTTCAAAAATTTATAAGTCATACACAAAGTATTTACAAGGTCAAACATGCTATTAGTCATGTAATTTACCATTGAGATACTGTTGATTAAAAAAAAACAATTTTCACAACATGCAATTTTTAAGAAATTGACCAAACATGCTATTGGTTATATAATTTATGGTTATTGATGATAAATTTTAGTAGCTTAATGTTATTGTGCATCACAAAGTTTTAAATTTTTCTTCCTATCCATTTTCCATAAGTTTCTAATTCAGTCAAACAATATTACATAAATTGAGACAAAAGAAATATATTTTAGGATAAATTAGATAATTGAGATAGAATTAATTTCTTTCTTTTTTTCGTAACTTTTTAAAAAATAATTACAGATGGAAAAGTTAAGGTTACTAAGCAATTGATTGAAGCCGTTGATGAAGAGAAGAAATCAATTACTTGGAAAGTTTTAGAGGGAGATACGTTGGAATTGTACAATTCTTTCACTATTAGTGCATCTTTTGAAGACAATTGGGCAACATGGACATTTGTGTATGAAAAGAAAACTGAAGACACACCAGAACCCGTCACTCTTCTGAAGCTTATGATCGATATTACCAGAGATTTAGAGGGTCACCTCCACAAGATTTAAATGATCGAAAATTTCATCGGAAATACCTCGATGCATCGGTTCCTATCGTGATATATATTTATTAACTTTGTTTGTGTGATGAATTTAAAAAATATTGGCTTGTCTTAAAGCATGTAAAATAAATAATATTGTATTGTATGAAGTTCTAATTATTATAAGTAGGTCAAGATATTGTGGACTGTTGCAAGTTTTAAAATTTTATCTATATAGTACCACAATGTATTAATGTGTTTGTACTCATTCCAGTTTGTAATAATAAAATAATTTTGATAAATGAAAAATCGTAATTAATTTTATTTTTCTCAAATTTGTATTTTTTGAAAACATTTGTTTTTGATGTGACATTGCATTAAAGATGCATGACTATATTCGGTGGCGGCTAATATAAGTTCCAATTTTTATTAAATTTAATATTTAAGATGAAAAATATGAATATTTGTATCAAAAGTATTAAATTTTTAAACTTTCGACTTTTAATTATAAAATATAACTGACGTAATGATTAATAAATAAAATATAAATATTAAACTCATCAAATTTAAATTTTATAGTCATACTTGAATGTAGTTAGGTCAAACACACGTTTAGAATGATGTTAAATATAGTATATCAGTTATGTTGACATTAGCAATACTTGCATTAACTATATTGAAATTATATTTCTTATGATATTTTATTTCGTGTATTAAAAATAATATGCATTGCATAATTTTTTAAAACTAATATTTGTTTACAAAAAATATCTTTCACAAATATTATGAAAAGAATGTGAAAAACATTTTAAAGACATTATGTCTTTCAACATGCGCAATGACCTAGTCTTTCATTTTTAGAAATTTTCATAAAATTATCGTTTTATCTCTCTCGATATTTCGTTCTGAGTCATTGTTATATGAGTTTTGAAATTGATTTCGAGTTTCAAGTTAAAAGTTGTAAATTTTAAGTTTGAAGAGCTAAAGTTGTCAAAAGTGATATTTCGTATCTTTTAGAGTTTCGAGTGTTAGAATAAGATTCTGTTGATTTCATCAGTTCTGAATTGTGGAGATTGGTCTGAGGGAGTTATCAGTTTTAGATTTGGAGTCTTTTTGATTTTTTGAGGTCCTAAGCTAGAAATTTATTGAGATTTTAGCCTTTGGCTTGACTTTGCTCAACATTCGAAGTTCAGATGCTCAGATCGAGAAGAGTTTCGTTGAACCTTATTCGCATGCGAATTGACATTTACATGACATTTAATAACTTTCATTAATAAGAAGGGTACATTTGATCCAATAGTTTGACGGAAAGAGTAATTTTGAGCCGAAATATAATTTAAGGGTAAATATGAGCAATTTCAGATAGCTTAAGGGTATTTTTGATCATTTTCCTGTTTAGTCTGTGTGACAGTGGAACCCTATTGGCAAGCAATGTGGTATCCATACGACATTTAACAACTTCCATTAATAAGAAGGGTACTTTTGACCCAGTAGTATGACTGAAATGATAGTTTTTTGAGCCGGAATATAGTTTAAGCGTATATTACGACTATTTCGATAGTTTAGAGATATTTTTAAACCTCTTCCGCTAAAAAAAATAAGCTCATCTATTGTGACGTAAGTAAATGTCAGTCAATTAAATATATTTCGTTGAGAAAATATATGAGATATATAAATTATGAATTACTTTTCGTGAATATATATTAATTCTTGAGTTCTTTTTATATAATTTCTTATTCAAAAAGTCTTAACCCAAAATCAAAGTGATTGGACAATATATTGTCTTTGCCAGCTTGTAGATCAATGATTATTTGGATGACTTAAATTTTGATTCGTCCAATATAAGCTAAGTTGGTTTTCATTTTATTTTTTTATTATTTTCCATTCGGTGTTCGGTATCAGTATATTGAAGTTTGATTAAATTTAAATTTGCATAGAAAATATTCACGTTGAGGGGGCAAAGCGCTACTTTGGAACTCGAACCTGACCTTTTGATTAAAGATAAAGAAGTACTTATCACTCTACCACAAGTCCACGGCCCTTATTGATAGCTAAGTTGATTTAGCTGATTTTACTTTTTAACTACCTTCAACTTTTCTAATTCAATGGCGCTATGATTGTGTCCATCTCTAATTATTACTGCAAGTGACAACTCAATTTGCCTTATTGATCATTTGAATAAGGACAAATCAACTTATATGATTTTATAACTATTATCCGATGTTTATATTGAAGCCTGATTATTTTAGATTTATGATGTAAAAGCTCTCTATAAAAAAAAAATTATACCGTAAGTTCGAACACAAAATTCCTGATCAAAGAAAGAGTAACATCATTTGATTTACTAAAATGGGTTGTGGTACACTGGTACACTGATGGGAGTGCTTCACTCTTAATCAGAGGTCTCGGGTTCGAGCCTTGGGTATGGACATTAACAATGATAATGTGAATAACCAACTAAGAATAAGCTTGAATGATACTTTTGGTATTAAAGTAAGTGATAGTTTGCTCCTAGGTTATGATTTGTTTTGACTCGTTCAATTTGACTTAGTTTGCTCATTTTTTTTACCCCTAGTTCATATCTATTATTTGTATTGCTATTTCGTGAATATTTACATATTTTTTGCGTCAAAAATATTAAATCTAGATGAAGTTAATATTGATCAACACTCTATATTCAATATAACAATTGAAATATTTTACAAAAATTATATATGTAGCAATAATAATACATATTTATGAGCATTTATAATCAAAACACTCTATGTAATTATCGGCTAAAGATTTCATCGACTCTGAATAAAATGACATCACAAAGAGGATCCCGATTAATCTTACAAATTTGTTGCAATACTATAGTAGAGTCAAGTGGGCTAATCTGATGAATTAACAATAATACTTGGGCTGAGCCCAACCCAGAAAGCAAGACACATTTTCAGAAACATTAATATAAGCCCATAATTTTCCATTATTCTGGGTGCATGACTAAAATCACATACCATTTTAAAAATTAAGAAACTTTCTTTTCGGACACATTTTTATCCTTTTACAGATACATCTCTCTCCTCTTAGATACATCTTTATCCCCTCTCAATACGTTCATCCCCTCTCAGATACATCCTTATCTCTTCTAGGATACATCCATATCCCCTCTCGGATACATTTCCATCCCCTTTCGGACACATCTCTATCTCCCTTTTGACGTATCTCTCCCCTCTCGGATGTATTCATATACCCTGTCGGATACATCTCTTTCATAATTGTATCATTCGCGATTCGTGAGTTATGTATTTGCAGGTTTCCTGATGTATTCGAGATCCTATAATTTTAAAGAATTTTTGTAATTTAGAAGAAAAATAAAAATAGAATATAATTAACTCTCGATACTGTGAAATTTTATGAATTTTTTTTCTTTTGAAGAATAAGAGTTTGTCAATATTTGTTAGGGAAAACTGAATAATTAGACATACTTCACTATCATATATAACTATTACCTATACTTTTAAAATATTATGTATTTTGCCACTAACTAAGAGTTACTTATGTATCTTAATCTTGGATAAATGTATTTTTTCTACCAGATATATACACAAAAGTAGGAAGAGAGGCGATCGAGATTGAAGAGGGAGGCAAACTTGATTCATATGTATCCTAGATATATGTGAATCACACTAGATACATGTCTGGGAATGGTGAGCGAGATGAGATCGAGGGAGGCAAGCGAAATTTGTTATGTATCTCAGATTCATGCGAATTCATTTGGATACGATTTATTTAGAACAAATTACATCTAAAGTTGACCTCATGTATCTGAGATACATATATCTTGACGTATTTAGAGGCACCAAAATCGTATAAGATACGTAATATTACAAATTAGAATATGTCTAAGTATTTAACTCCTAAACTAGTTGAATTTATCTAAATTCCTTTTTTTTTAGTAGAATTTGTTGTAATTTTGAGATTAAGGTGTTTCTAAAGCATTTTGATTGAATATTTGTTTTTTAGTTTTACATAGATTTTGACAATTAAAATACATTATCAAATTTTACTTTATTTTAATATTTAGTCATATAACTAATACTTACTAAACTTATTTTAGCATGATTTATTACTTTAAATTATGATCAATTTCATTATGACTTATTAATTTGCAATATTTGTTTTACGAGATTTTTTTGTTGTTGGATATTTTAGTGTCATTAATCATATCATATTTTTTGTTATTTTCTTGATAAATAACTTAGATAGTTGCATTTTTGTAAGACTAAAGAAATATTTAAAATACAAGGAAATTATATGTTTGTATGAATATTTTATCGAAAAAATTCAAAGAAATTTGAAGTTGAAAAACCCGAGTTTTATTGGTTTGGTTTAGTTTATAAATTCAAAAATCTGACACAAATAGTTTGATTTGATATTTGAAAAATTCCAAACCAACCCGATCATGTACACCCCTAGTTTCGACCCATCCAAGTATGAGTTGGGTCAAATGGGCTAAAAGACAAGTTGAGTTTTAACCGATCCAATTTGATCCGATTAATCTCAACCATACTCCTGAGCCCCTCAATCGCATATCTACTACTTAGTCAAGCCCTTAGCTACTTCTGTATCTTAGAACAACCATTCTCTTGTTTTATAGTCTTCAAATCTATGAAAAGAGGAAGTTAGGAGAGGATTCTAAATAATTCGATCGAGCCGAACAACAAAAAGAGATAATATGTTTCTTAGCTTAGCTTAGCTTGCCATAAACCTACAGGGAACAAGATTCAGATCGAAGACATTCCTTTCTTTCTTTTATACCTCTCTCTTCTTAGTTGCTCTTCTTTCTAGGGATCTAATGACCGTAGACAGCTGACCCGGTAAATCATCTAACTTTGTGTAGCTGAAGGTTGCCAAATCGTATTGTTAATTTCAATCTCGACTCCAGGAAATTTAAGAAGAAAAAAACTAATGAATAGATAAATCTTAGAATATAAAATAGATATTGTTCCATGCTTCAATAGAAGAACATACATTACATCAATGCAAATAAAGAGTCTTAAAACGAGTTGAAATTGAAAATAAAATCGGGCTCGAATTTCAAATGAAGATTCTTTTAAAATGGATTAAGACTTGAATCAATTGAAATTGAATCCAATAAAATTATCTTGATCCCAACCCATAAAATTTTAAACTAGTTGACCGAATTACCTATATTTGAGCTCATTTTGACACCCTTAGGTATGACCATAAAATAAATAGTACTAATTATTTCTCGAATAACTTTTTAAACACCAAACACCAACATGAATTATAGTGCAAATATGAGACGGTTCTATTCT